CTCTTCCAATGTGTTTATGAGCAATAACTATCGCCCAGTCATCCGCCTGTCGTAATTTTATCGTGAGCGTTGCCGGAATATCAGCGATGTATAGGCTTGCGGCAAGCCGTCGTTGAGTTTCATTTTTTGCTGTCCTCACCTAGTTTCAAAACATCTACCGTTGGGTAGCGTTGTTTCCTGAAAAGTTTGTTTCGTTCCCTTTTGGTGTTAATTATGATCTTTGCTCTAACAGGCCTATGATCACTTCCGATGTAAAATTTATTCAAAACAGACACGTCTCTACATATGTTCTTGTTATTTGAGACTATAAAGTCTATGTCGTTTTTCGTTTTGTTGTCTGGGCTTTGCCATGTCCATTTACGCTGTTTGGGTTTTTTAAAGAACGTATTAAGGCAGTATAAGTTTTCGTTATTGAAGCAATTTGTCAAGGTCCCATCCCTGTCGTTTCTATGGCCCAATCCAAAATGTCGAATATATTCTGGGTCCCCCTCTTTTCGTCTTCCAATTTTGGCATTAAAATCTCCAGTAATTATTCGGAAGTGGGTTCTTTCTTGTTGTTTTGCTTTGGTCAAATCGTCATAGAAGTTTTCAATTTCTTCATCATCTGAAGCGCTTGTCGGTGCATATGCGTGAATGATTTGTAGGCAACAATCTCTTGTTATGGCAATCACAATATATATCACACGATTGGATATTGCATGGTATTTTGTGACGGTGTATCTAAATTTTCTGTTGATAAGAATAGCTATTGCTCTGATATGATCTTTGTCGATCATGTTGTTCTGGAATAGAGTATGCCCTGATTTTAAGACAGTGGATTTTTCTCTGGGTAGGCGAGTTTCGCAGATCGATTGTTGCGCGTATTGATTTAGTTTATTATGAAATGAGGTGGACGACAATAATTTTTACAAATTCTCAGTTCTTATCAATGAGTAGAGCAAGTTTCAGGCAAGAGGCTATGCGTTTTATTAATTAATTTTTGGCGAGAATCGCAATCCTGGAACCCCATGTTGTGCAACTGGAATGGAAGACGATGATTTTATTGTTAGATATAATTTCAATAACATATGCTCAAAAAATAATATGCGAGGAAATGGTGGAGTCAAATATGTCGCTTCCTCCCCTTCTACGACAATCGGTTAGATATTTCCAATCGTCTCGTAGTATTCGCATTTGCACATTTCGCTCACACCCATACAGTTGTATCGATCCATACACGTACCGAGTGACGAAACATCCGTCGTAGTGCCGAGTCGGTATCTTCGACCCGTTACTCAATAACGAATACATACGGTTTGCAATAGTTCTATTAATGATGCATAATAATAACGAATTTTCACTTAAGAGCGAATCATTTATAGTTATGAACTGCAACTGGATAACCACGTTCAAAGGAAAGGGTTAGGCAAATTTATGATGCAGATATTGGAACTGATCGCCTTCAAAAACAACATGAAAAAGGTGGCGTTGACTGTCTTGAAAAATAACACAAACTCCAAATTTTTCAAAGCTGTCGGGTACGTATTTAGCAATCAAGTTATACTGGGTGGTCCGTAATGACTTTATCAATGAGAGCATGATCAGAATTAGAATCAGAAATTGCAGATATCAAAATAATGAAAATAAAGAGCCGAAACGCGTCAAAAAAAGATCGTAACATTTTTCCATTCTTATTTTTATAATTATAAAGTTTTAAAACATACAACCAGGAATAATGGTTTAATCTAAAAAAATCAATTAACAAACAGAAAGAAGCAATGACGTCAAATGCAATGAAAACATATCAATAAAGCACTGCAAAAACACTTAAGGTTTATCCTTAATTAAATTAAATGGCAACAATTTGAATTTCGCAGCGTGTAGATCGTGCTCTAGCTCTGATTACTGCTCCCCCCTTTGTATGGGCATACTAATAATAAAAAATTTGAATGGTCTCTTTGGGAATATTCGATACGAATCGCTGGCTCAAGTTTCCTAAGATTCATAGGAGCAGGTGTTGCCTGACTGATCGTTTGTCGCCTCGTTAACAAAACAGCCGAAAATTGTTGTTTATACGGCAGGGAAATTCATGGTTGCTCCGAAAATTAACCTTTAGTATAAAGGCCGAAAAACGGATTACCGGACCGAAACACACCTTTTAAAGGATATTAAAATATTCCAATCGGCGAAATGATCCAAGCGATGTTGAAATGTAAATGAATCGGCTTCTTCCTATGTTATTATTACAGATTCGAAAATATGCCATAAAGCGAAACTATTCCGTATTACTCAATTTTAAAGCTTTGGCTCCTAAACCATTGTTGGAAAACTAATAATTTTCGTTTTTTGGTAACAGTTGTGACCCCTAACTGTCGGGTGACGAACGTTTTCGATGACAACTTTACTTGCATAATTTTCCCGTAAATTTAATGCGGCTCACTCTGTATAGCTTGTAGTAGGGGACTATATCTGCAAAGAAAGCCATAAAATAGCACTTAATTGTACTAACTGGCTATCCATATTCTAGATACGAATTAGACGAGTCATCTCCTATTGATGACGAAGAGGAAGCCTTTCCATATGAAATCCTCAGTAAAATAAATAAAAGATTGGCGTCAACATTGCCAAGTTCGACCATCAGTAAAGCTCATAATCATCTCCAGAACGGTCACGGACACAGCCATGGCCACAGTCACCTAAACGGTCATTGTTGCCCTGGTCATCATCATTAGTTTAGGAACAAATGTCCTTTTTTGTGTTCGTCGTGTAACATTAAACAGTATCTGAATAAGAGAATTATTGCTTTTTTTGTGGTATCAGACTATTTTTTGTGGTAGTTTGGTTCTTCGACATATTCGACTTACCCTAGAAAATGTTTATATAATTTCATTAGACGTAATAAGTATTTTCAGCTAAATAAACAACGAGTTAAACTGATCTCATTTAGTATTCTATTTACACCTTTCGTCCATCTGCATCTTGACCTTTGAGAAATCCAAAAAAATGTAACGTAATAAATTTTATAATTCACAGGTCGAGTCAGTAGTTGTAACCAAATTTATTATTTTATTTATGGATAAAGCACTGAAGAAGCTGAAAGATCCGGAAACAYAAAGAGGTCTAACAACGACAAATAAAGACGATCTTCTAAATAAGGGGCTGCCAGGAGGAAACCATAAAAGATKTAGTGAAAATCGAAACATATTGTTACGTTTCCCGGGGTTCGAATGATTCCAGTAAGCAAATAAAATAACACAACAATTTATTGAACTCCCAAATACYAACTAACTCAAAACTATAGCTCGCGAATMKAACACACTCTGAATATCGCTTTAAATATTTCACTATATAGTTGTCTGATTAACTCTGAATGAATCCTCACTCCRGTCGCCTTGCCGTATTTATATTAGCGCRCAAGGGCTCTCGACGACCTGCGAAGATTCTCCATTTTTCGGGAATTCCATAGCCCAATCGACTATTGCCGTTCGTTCTCGAAGTATCGAGCTAGGCGTCCCGAAAACGCTGGAAGCCGCAACAATATATAACAACACAAGAAAATACTCTAATTTGAACAAAGCCGCGTAAATCCATTTTTCTTGATCCGCTGGTTGAAAGTACGTACTTTGGCCACTGTTTTCGATGGCGAAAGCATCACTTTTGCCAATTACAAACTTTCTTCATCCCGTGTGGAAAGTAATAACTTTCGAAACGAACGCTGACAGCTTGACTTTGTCACTGACTGTTTTGACAACATTTTCAAAACCTTATACTTTACCCAGCTAGTTTCTATCGAGCATGAAGAAAAATAGTATATGGTACTTCGTCTCTTGTAGCGTAATATTCTATTAAAGAAGTCTATTTAGTCCAAAATTCGCGAGTTCAACTACCGATGGTGGCGCTGCGGAAACGTCAAATTACTCGTCGAGTCACAGTGGCGCCTTGTCAGATTTGTTTATTATTGGAGTTGATGACATTTACAGCATAAAACAATACGAACACACTTTCCTATCTGTTTCTATTTCTTTAAAAGCTTGCAAAAGTTGATTAGAACAAAACAAATCACAATTAGATATAAACACCAATGTCAACAAAACAAGTGTCAATTACTACTTAACTTGTAATTATAATTTAAGTCACCAGGGGGCGTCAGTGTACTTCCCTGCAATGCGAAGACGTCAGCCACACTTGTAGTGTCGGTTAATCAACCCTAGACTATTAGAAAAATCCAACATTAAGGACCGTTTCGTTTTCCCCGCCTATTTTCGTTGACTCACTATGTATTTGCCAAGAAAACACAAACATAATATTCATACATCTATTTTTTTTCGAATTAAATCTATGTTATCTGCATATGTCACTATTTAAATTGGCCTATATCTCTAGGTAGGTATTCAGTTTTAACGATTTTGATGCAGAAGTAATATCTGTTCGACCCTAAAAATAAAGTATTTCTGTCCACGTCGCATCAAAATTGACAACTCTGAAAGTACCTATGCAGTCAATATATGTATATTTGATCTATATTATAACAGTGCGCCGCATTTCGTTAGATGGTTCATTCTGTCGCAGTCAAATGCAATGAGTAAAAAGAATGAGACATCGTAAGGCACTTCATTAAATTTGCATACTCTAGGTTTAGGTCCACTATTAAGCAGTTATTCTAAAAATTCACTTAACTGCGTGAATATTGCAAGAATTGCCTAATATAATATTTTCTCCAAAAAATCAGAGGAATATCGTTCTAAATATGTTTTCTACCCCAGTATTAAGCATAGACCAAAAACTAAATATTGAATGGAATATACATGTAATAATAGTGAATCTGAACCTCAAACAAGTCATCAATAGCGATCCAAAAACCAAGTGAAGATACTATTAATTTGACAATATTCAATAATACACAACTCAATAGATATACACTTGTTATTAACACAACACATTCGTCAATTTAGCAAAAGCTTCCAACACCTCTTCGCGAATGCCTGCTGCTTGGTTTAATCTAATTTAATGTGCTCATCTCAAACGTAAATTTCTTTATTAGAAAATAATGTGGCAAAAGGACCTTGAAAACAAATTACGGTTTTTAACCTCTATCTGAGGTTCCGTCATCTTGAAAACCCACCGTTGACCAATTTGTGATGATATGAACTTTTCGAATTAATTCAGAAGTTGTATCGACGAATTATGAGGTTCTATCGTTAAACTCTTGCTACACAAAATGAGCTAACAAGCACGTTACAATCAGACATAATCTACCACTCTACAATAAAAAATATAAATCGAGAATAAGCAAATACTGATGTTAATGCATATTGAAGCGGCATTAATATGGTTGGATAGGGTTGCTAAACTGACGATAATCAACTCGTTGAAGATCTAACTATTTGTATAGATAGACACATGTTAGGTTTACATCAAATTTTATTTAAAACCTTTCAAATATGTGACTTAAAAGTATCTGAGCAATAAACAGTGCACATCGCAAAAATTAAGAGGCCGTCGCTGCAATACAGTGTGTAACTTTAGGTTCACCTACTTTTTTGGCCTTAACTCATAAACTACTAAACCAAAAGAGCTCATCTTTTTAGGAAATACGGTACATATGACCAGTAAACTTCCGGTGAAATGTGATTTAGTAAACCTAAATCATTTTTTCGGTCTGAAAATCCGTACATTTGAAAAAAACTGTTCAAATCACATATCGCCACAAGTTTACTGCTCATTGTACCGTATTTGAGTTAAGGCCAAAAAAGTGGGTGAACCTAATCATTGCTACACAGTGTCGGTTTCCTGATGCAATTGCAGATATTTGAAAGCCTCTACTTGTGCACTTAGCAAATTATTTTCGGTAATGTACTGCGAATTCAGCTACATTTCCTATTATACCAATATCGAATAAACTTAATTGTCAGATACGGAACGTCTTAAACACTTAATTAAAATTGCTTTAATTATTTCAATTTTTGGCACTGGAGTTAACAAATAAATATAGATAGGTTTAACTTGTAAATTTTAGACTAAATTTTAAACATTTTATGAGTCATCTCTTCAACAATACTGTGTAACTACTAAGCGTATTAAAATTTGGATTTACTTAGAGCTATTGAAGATTATAATTTATTTGAAACATTAGATATTTTAGGAGCGTGCTGAAACCAGTTTATACTTAATAGTAGTGCAAACATCACATGAAAAATGTACATCATCGTCTCTGAGTAGCGATTAATTTACTGCATTTTGATGGATATGATAATAGTAGATAATTAGTGACTTTAATGTTCTCAATGCCATAACAGACTATTATACTAATACTATTATAGAATAAATATTTCACAAATAATCAGGAAAATATTCATATTCAGACATATAAAAAAGACAGAGGTAAGGTTTTTCACCTTTAGGCCATATTAATGTAACGCCCTGTACTCAAAGCCTTTAAATTGACGCATTTACCTTATACATTCCCTTTACCCTATCAATTAAGAGAATATGAATAGAAACCTTATTATTACTTTTAACACAATATATATTGCTTCGGATCGAAAATGTCTAAAAAAACTCAGACGAATGTATATATAACACAGGAAATTGATCACCTTAAAACCTATCATATCGATGAATTTATCAGCTAATGTCCTCCACTTTTAACATTTAAGCTGGATTTATAAATTCTGCAGTTGGTGCCGTTAGTCGTTCGGAGTTGCCGCCGTTCGAGTAATACACATACGCGCGCGCACGTGTCAATTTATAAAATCGGCGTTGCTTGAAGTTCGTCGATTCTATGCCGTTGGTAATTAACCAAATTTTATTTCGCCGGCAACGTCGTTTGTGCAGTTGGCGATTTAATCAATGAGAGAAAGAGTTTCATCTCACTTGAGTGACTTGTCAAAACAAGACCGTGTTTTGTTCATGTTTTTGGCAAGATAGCAGAAGAACTAAGTTTCGTTGCAGATTCTGATATTAGCAACTCGCTAATAGAACCAATTTAGGTAATTATTTACAACGCGATCTGATACCAGGACTGCTGCTTTGTCGATGCTCACCTATATGGCTATGCTCACCTTATAGAAAATCTCATAACAAATAACATTTTTCCTATAGATTTTTCGAGAAAATGCCGTTTTTCACTACTTTTGAGTGCGTTGCGTGCCAGTTCAAATT